CCGTCGTCAACTGCATCTTAATTAGTACGTTCCCCTCCTCCGTTCGATACCACAAGTTAATGAAGACAGGATCATCAATACGCACGTCCCTGCTTGTGTGGGGTTTGCGGAAACCAAAATTTGCTGGGCTTTCCCATATACGGAAATTCTTATTGACTTGATACGCCCGATAATCGTTTCGAGAGAGAAGAGAGAGCTCATTACTATATTCATTCATAACAGGGTAATAACCACCCGAAAGTTTAACAGTTTTGTTGTCATTGTTATGTTGATCATTGTATAACATCACGTGTATCATTTACATGTATATAGTATATATCAGACTTTGCCGTGGTTGTCAGTATTAATTAATCCTATAGTTATAGTTAATCCTGGTGACTGGAAGTGCTTTTTATCATTAATGTTATCATCTAATTTGGTTAGGCAGTGTCCGAATTACTTGAATCCATCCAGCAATAGCACGCAGGCCTCCAAGCGCATGTTAAAAATACGGTTTTTCTCGCCGTGTTCGAATTACTTTTCTCAGAAAAGTAAATCAAACACGGCGAGAAAACTATATTTTTGCTGGGAAATCCTCCTCAATATTGGTATACTTTGGTACAACACATTACATTACTGAATTGACAATAAAAAGCCATTCCTGTGGGGACGTTACGATCACCTGCAGGATTTACACGCGCATTAATTGCCTCATTGGTCTGGGAGTAACAAGCCCAAAGATACAAAGTGGGCTTGCGTCAAGTTTCAGAACAAAGCGCACGAGTTGAGTTCTATTACAGTAATGACGTCTTGTCGGATAAGCTTAAGATTTCACAAGGTAAAAAATAGAGTCAAGTAATACAAATCGGAAGTTAGACTTTCCGTTTTCACTGTCTATTTAAACTTTTAAAATGAGAGAAATTTTGAGCACTCTCAGTCCGCCCCCGTTCTTTTGCTGCGTCAAGATTTTCTAAAAGATGTCTTGCTTCAAGCCGGCCAGCCGCCGGCTCTCTGCCACCATGAGACGGCCAGTCACGCGTCGCTGTGTATCTTAGTGTAGTCAAAATATTATTCAACCTATTTGCCAAGATCTCTTTCAAGATCACTTGCTGCAGGAGCATGCGTATTTTCATAAAAGGTTTTGCTATTAACCAACCCTACCGGTGGTTTACCCAGGCCGATCGATTTTTTTTTTAGCTTTTCAAGAGTTCACATTGTTTTCTTTAGACATCTCTTCGATGTCAAGTATGCGTACTCGGGAAATGAAAAGCACAATATTGAAGTCAGGCATTTTGTCGGACGCCGCGCAGTCATGCTCTCGGAGAGCGATTAAAGGTGAAATTAACAGCTGTCGAGCGTGACTTCAGAATAGTGTCCTTGGCAATTCTTTCATAGCAACCTTTTTCCTTGGCAGCGGGATTCCTTAAATTGTCAAGGGACTGGCCCACTAAACTGTTAAATTCCGTCGAAGAAACCCCGCGAGCTGTATCGGTATGTGGTTTGCTCTACAGTGCAATTGCACTTGGATTGTACTGGCCTGTACTTAGTTTTGAAGGAAGAATAGGAGGCCTTCCTTATCATTTCTTCGATCATTTATAAGTACTTTTTTCGCTATCGGCTTTGTACGCGCAATGCCCCTCAGTTACGGTATTGTTGGGTTGGATAACAATAACAGGGAGGTAGAACTTGTACATATACCATGACGATGAAACGGAATTATCATTTTGGTAAGTTTCTGTAACCATCGAAAATATATCAACGAAGTTTTAAGAGTGAGCCATTTAGCCAAACCCAGTACCAAAAGCCTGTGCCCTTAAATCACAATCTGAAAAAGATGCGAGGTATTCGGTTCAGTGTCCGCACACTTTCATCCCCTATTCCCCTTCTTCCCTGTGGTGTCTCCTTCCCAACACTCTCGATAAGGCGCTGCTGCTAGGTTGAACAAATACCAGAGGCTGTCCAACAAAATGGATCCCTGTATAAAGAGGCAGAACTCAGGTCCCCTTCCATTCCCAAAATAACCGTTTCGTATTCTCCGTATCCCTTGACTAAAAACTGAGACATCTTGGGCGGGGGAGAAATTCACGAGTGTTGGCCTAATAACGGCATGCCTATAATTTGATCAGCTTCTGCCGACGGGCCCGTGATTTTATTGATCGATGTAAGTCTAGAATGCCCTGTCTTTTGTACAATATAAATATAATGAACCTCATGTTGATGTCGCCTGGAAAGACCCCTAGGGTAAAGCACCCACGAACTATTTAATAAAAGGGCGGCCGTAGACCTCACTTACACATCGAAGTGATCCTTACCTTATACTTTATGCTCGCGTTTGACCGTGGTATTGCATGGTCGGTCAGTATCTTTCTCGGGCCTGTGTGTTTTCGTCTGCACTTTTAACTAGAGCAAAAGGTCATTCGACGCGTAAGATCAACCAAAGATGATTATTGTCGGTAAATATATGTACAAGTGAAGATTACTGCACGAGCTTTTGAAAATTTATAGCAGTTGACCAAATCGACGTTGCATTTCTTAAACTGAATTTATCTAACTGGTGATGTTTTGCCATACCATTTCAACCATCCAACCCAATCAACACATCTCCTCCCCCAAAAGAGAACCAGTAATAGTTTCAAAATCAGTCAGACAGCATGAAGCTTTGAAATCATGCTAGAATGCGTCTGAAAATCAACCCTAACTGCTCTGGACCTGCATTTGGCATTCATATTGAAAGAGTGTAACTTGGCCACTGTGTTATTCTCAGTGTCTTCTACCATTTTCCTGGTACAGTCGAAAAAAACAAGACCAAACCGATTTTAGTCAAAAACCATTTTAAAAGCTGCCTCCCCTTTAAAACGATCCACACACGAAGCTCATTGTTCGCTTCTGGCGCGAACAGCGCTAGCTGCTCTGAAACAATAGCATAACTTCGCCTACAAAATGTAGACTGTGTGGACCGTTGGTGGCGTTGTTTTCGAACACAATGTAGTCTAGTCCCTAGCTGTGAGTTTGCTGTGAACACATGCACAGTAGTTTCCAACCTACAAACATCTCTGTGGCTGTCGCTGCGAAATTAGGCTCAAAGATTTCTTCGTGGGTGAAATTATCGAATAAATTTACAGATTCTCGACAAATGGTAAGTCAACAGTCATGTGCGTTGGTCTTGTTGGGGGTGCACTTTGGGTAATGTGAAATCATACTTTGGTCAATCTTGTTGGAACAGAAATCGGGCCACTCGTTTCTGCTAAGTTGAATGTTGATGGTTTTAAGACGTGAAAATAATGTCAACAGGGAAAGAGGTAGGACATCCTTAAGTGTACTTTCCAACAGCAGATCCGAAAGCACACTTTGCGTACTCAATGGTATTTCGATTAAAAATGCGCTTTTGGGGAGTAGGTATACGTTGGAGATTTTATGGGAGCGAGAAGAAGTACGTAACGTTTGTGGGTTGAATGCTAAAGCATGGCAGCTAAGCAACGTTCAAGATGAGCCAATTTTCTCCAGGGAACTGGACAAATTGCTTTCAGGGCTTGGCCATCTATTTGGAGACCTCATTTCGGTCCAGTTCCAATGACTTCCGTAATTGCTTTCCATTGTTTATTTTTATCTCATTCGTTGCTTCCACCCGATTCCTTGCAGCCGTAACGGTAACATCGGGCCGGAATAAAAAAGCTCATGCAGGAAAGGTAGAAAATATGAGACAGTCTTATGTCGAGTCACCTTTGGTCCCTAGTCAAGTGGTTAGGGGGCATGTTTTCATGCCCCTCGCCCGGGGCATTTGAACAAATTGCACGCCATGCAAGTCGCACTCGAGAGGCACTAATGTGCGCACGAGTGGCCCTTCGTTTGGCGCCAAAGAGCGACGGTGGATAAACGCAAAATCTCCCCTTCTGTCCGTCTGTAGCTAGACTCCCGGTATAGCTGTACGTTTAGCAGGGGATAGGCAAACTACCTCGTCACCATGTGGCACGAGATTGATTGTTAGAATTATGAAGTCGTCGAGACTTCATATATATAGGCCTTTACGAAATTACCATAAATTGCCCTGGGCTGCAGAAACACAATTACTCTGTCCCAATTAATCTCCGTATTCTGTCGTGTCTGGTGTAGTGATTGTATCTGAAATTTGCTGTTCCTTAGCGTACTTAATGCAATGAGTGGATCTAATGGCGTCGTTCTTTAGTGTATAGTTAATAATCAATATAATTCAAAAGTTGATCAAACTGTCAATTTTAATGCAGTTTAGCTGACTTTTAATTTTGTCTGAATATAACCGTACTCACTTATGCTGAACAAGTGTTGATTACGGAACTGCAGTTACAACTGCTTTCGTTTTGTCATTCTCATTGGGTTCATTCAATTGTATTTCCGCTAATACCCCGCAACACTGCTATATTGGCCTTAACAACCAAGGTTCGAAGGCGTAAAACCTCGTGCTGTCTATATGAATATAATTAAGCAATATCTGTTAGAAGTGGGTGGCAGATTTAACTGCCCATAACAGAAATATCCAGCAGCGTATCCAGCTATGGTGTGTGTGGGGGGGGGGATTTAGAAGCGAATGCGGCTTTGGGCTCATTCAACATGATGTTGGGAGAGAAAAAAAATCAAGAGCCTTACGGTCCTGATATCCTGGCTTTGATTTGCTGGTGTTGTTTTCTGAGGGTTTTGGTGCTGATATTTGATAAATAAATTTACCGATTACTTTCTTTCCTACTCACCTATTAAGTACTCTGTAAAAAAAGAAAAATGAAAATCCGTCGTGGGAAAGGTGCCCCCATGCATGGCCGCCCACACTGGATACGCCTAGGAAACATAAGCAGTTTCAACAAGGAACAGTAAGATCTGGTAAGTGGCATCAGCGCAACAGCGGCACACTTGTCCAAATTGTCCATAAAGAAGACGATACACGCACGTTTTGTGGGATTCCATTTGATGTCCAAATAGACCATTGTCCTTTTTAAGTTCCCAGAACGACAGTTACGTATGATGATTTTGTTGTCTCTGCTTCCTTCCAACAGCCTGGCGTCCCACAAGACCGTTCAAGCTTAGAAAGTAGGTCATCGCAAGAATTGGTAAGTATTTGCTTTCTTGCCAAGCATTTTCAGATCATAGAGAGCCTCAGGAGATATTATTCGTCATGATGACCCTTAAGTAAAGGCTATCAGAACAGTCAGACTTGCAATAAACGTCGCTCTGAGGTTGACCTTACTTTCGTGTTTAAAATTGGGCCATTTCATGAAATCAAATCTATTCGCAGGTTGTTAGGTGATTAGACATGTTAGATGGCTTACGTGGCTTAATCACTAGTCATAATTTGGCTAAGACTCCCAACTTTTCAGCACTGAAAATAAGCTTAAGAAGTAAAATAGTGTTTTGCGTAATTTCTTTCACAGTTATCATCATAATGCTTTTAATGTTCGGTTTTAAGATTATCTTAACCTCTATCTGATGTTTGCTATGAAAAAATTGTTTGAATCCTTGTACAATTTAATGTTTTCTGGAATATGTCGCATTGAGTATGTGGGACAGCTTTTTTACAAAAAGATTTTGAATTATCAAGCTAACATTTTCTCAAAGGCATGACAAAGGGTTACTTTGCAAAACGTGTACTGATGTTGACACCTCAGATACTTTACTAACTTGTTCATATATACACTCTCAATTGAGTTTCGTTTATTTCTTTCGCTGTTCTTCGTTTCACACTCTCACACATGCTGTAGTATGAACTGCAAATGAGCAACCTCTGTAAAGAGTTTCCCCATAACAAATTGCCATACCCTTCGTGGCGGTTCTCAGGAGATGCTTTAAGTATTTGAATGAGCCGAAACATGTTCATTGAGCACGGGGTGCACTGGTCTGTCACCACCACTTTCTTCTCCCAAAATAAACACCACTTGGCCCGTTCACCGCTCGGCGCGTTACAACTGTTTCCGCTGCAGCCCTTTCCCGTGTTTGCAAACACATTCCGAGACGTCTTTTAGCGAAAAATGGGGGCTGAGTGCTCGATAAACTTGCCCCTAGAACGACAGACCCTTCAAGACACATGCGCTAATGGATGCTGACTTGACACCATCATTGATTTTCCCCCTGTGGCACAGTATACGAAATTCCACCTTGTGAAGTAAAATACAAAGCCCGTTGGTAGAACAGGAGCGCAAAGGTGCGTCCTCACAACACAACGATGGTAAAAATGTAGCTTGAATTAAAACAAAAATTATGGAAGGTATCGCCTGCACCACCTCATTGATCCCCTTATCACGTGACCTGTCTCCCTTTCTACGGTCTTTGATTTGACATGCTTCGTGGAATCCAAACTCCATAAAAACGGAACACTCGACGATTATGCGCATGTTATACCGAGGTAAGGGGAGTGTGTATGCAAATCTACGCCTCAAGGAGGTTTGCAAAAAGACCCTGAATTTCATGCAAGCTGACGTTATTCATGACGTCAGTGCGTAATGTACCCCAGTAATGATGTGTGTTGAGTATACTGGATTAAAACTCTAACCCCCTAAGGTGTATTTAAAATCGTATTGAAATTGGAGGATTTGGGACTGTTAGGGTTAATTAATGTTTCACTACCTTGGCGAGAGGAGGAAGGAAAACCTCTACCGTATGGAGTATTTTCAGTTAAGGGATTTTTGACGGCTAGCGTTCATTTTAAGGCGACTTTCCATATGAACTTTCGTGCATTGCGTACACGACGTGTTCATGCGTGTCACTTTCACTGACATAAAATCGACTCCATTAACTTAACTTATGTATGCGTTGCGTTCAGCCGTTAAAATCGCTCCCAGGGCGATTTTGACGGCCGAACGCAACGCTTGGCGCAAGTGTTGACGCGCATATGGAAAGGCGCTTTAGCATAAACCTCGACTCCATGGGCTGTGTGCGTGTTCCTTCACTAGCCCCTAGTCGTGTAAAATACAAAAATGACGCGGACTGGCTATGCAGGATGAATATACATAAACGCAAAGTGAATTGCACGCGTATTTCAAAATTTGCTCCCTGGCGCCCGCGTATTCTCTTGCACATCACGCACGCGCGAATCTGTGTCGCGCGTAAACACACTGATCAACCTAATTTGAATATCCCAAATAGTGGTATATTTAAATGATACAAGAATGTAATATCACAGTGAATCTGCTTGCCCTGAAAAATGTACTCACTTACCAACTGAAATCACATATTTCAGAGCACCGATTTGATATTATATTCTTGTCGATATTCTGATCACGCTGCTACGCAGCCCTTCCATATTTCTTTAAATTATACAAGCTGGGTTAGATCGCGCAAGGCACGATTGGAACCAATATGGCGTGGTAAGATCGTACCCATGGGAACGAGGTTTCCTTAACACGGATGTGCGCAGAAACAGGCGTACCTTTGAAGTCTGTCAACACCATTAATCTCCGTATAGACTGGATAGGACATTGTGCATTGTTTGTGGGTGCTCCACTACAAATAAATTCCCATAGACAGCAATGATAAATCCCCACACTTTTACAATACAATAATTTTGAAAATACAACTCTCACAGGTGTCCGGGCTGCACAGATACGATAATCGACATGTCCCCTTTCATTTTCCTTTCAATTTTTGGGGGGTT